ATTTCATAATATTAAGTAAAAAGGGTATAAAATTAGACCTACTCCCCAGAACTACATATCCAATACAGTTGCCACTAACTAGAGGTGGCATTTGAATTTAAATTAATTACAATTTAAAAAATTTAAAACTCTGTTCTTTAGTCACATTAGACATATTTCACATGCTCAAATGCCACATGTGGCTAGTGCCATGGCTACATACTGAAGAGTACGGGTATAGAATATTTGTGTCAACATAGAAAGTTATATTGGACAGTGCTACTCTTGAAAAAATTTGCCACAAAAATGGCATAAAAAAGAATCATACAATCAAAAATCAAGACATAGAAACGTTCTATATCTTGACTGTGGCGACAGTTCACTGGTTTGCTAACTCTCACAACTTAACAAGGTATACAACTTGGACAGATGCAGTAATGCATGTAAATTACAACTCAATAAAGTTAATAAGGAAAAAAAGAATAAACACATGACCACTGATAAACTCTAAAGGAAAGCAAAAAATACTCTGGGTATATATAGTAAGGTCCGAAGTCCTGCCCAGCTTGCTTACAGATTCCCTGTCTAGATCCCTCGTGCGCGAGTCCGGGGTCCCAGGCAGAGTGGAGGCAGACGGCTGACACAGTGAGGTGAGTGCATAGCCGTGTATGGGAAAAGGTTGGGCGGGGGATTGAGAAGAGATTTGAGACAGTGGAAAGTAAGGGACAATGTACATGGCCCTCCCAAAATGTATCACTGCAGCTTAATTGCAAAGCACCAACTATCATTAAAATCACACCCCTTACTGAGGGGCCACTGAAGACGTAAAGGGATTCATGAAGAGTAATAAGGTGTATAGACAGCCTCACATAGGTATCTTTCAAATGATTAAGGAAAAGAAATTGTAAAAGTGAAAAAACTACCCAAAATATTTAAAGATTCAATACCAAGATTCAGAATGGCCAGATATTACCAATCACAACTCAACATAAGTTATTAAAGTATCATTCAGTTGATATAAGTCAACAGCTCAAGGAACACAGCTGATCATTAACACCAACTCTAGTTCCTCCTGCCTCCAACAGAGTGATTACAACCAAACAGCCACTCTCCAGGCACGACTCTAGCTCTGTAAAAGGTGGACAGGAATCTGGATGGGGAGCAGGGGGAATCATGGTCCCCAAAGTAATTCAGTCAAGAACAATGGCCTTGGATTTGTTCCCCAGACAGTAACTCCTGGAAGCCATGGTATATATACCTTGACCTATTAGGACAGCAACATTTAATGATTTTTGTAATGTCAGATATCATTTTATATTTTATTCAAATATTTCTGTAATCATTAGTAGTTGTCAAAGGTTTATTAAAAATGGAAAAAATGTTCAAAAGAAATGGTTAAGAATATTATGGTATATTCACTTATAACATTTTACCACCATTAAAATGATGGTTATGAACACTTTGGCAACAAGGAAAACACAGAATCAAATGAAAAGGCCATGTACACTATATCTATATTATGTACACATACTTAAAAAGTCTAGAAGAACATCTGAACAAATGAAAATTGCTCAATATTTTAACTAGAGCATTTTTTTTATGTAGCTATCCATTACTGTTGCCATAACGCTATTTGCGTAATATAAAATATAAATTCTTAATATTTGTAAACAAACAGCACACTTACCACAGTGGGATTGCCACTACTTATCAACTGGCTGACTTCATGAAAAATGCTTTTGCAGTCAATTGATTTATCTAATGATCCTCGCTTTACAATTACTGCTACTGCTAGTAGAATCTGTTCCCGAACATACTTTTGGAGGCTGTAAAACATAAAAGTCATTGTGAAAACATTTACCTAAATTTAATATAAAAACACTCCCAAATTTCTCACTATGCCTGAAGCTACTAATAACACTGCTTACATTTGAGAGTTGTATAGCCCACTGGAGTCTATACTGGTTATGTATAGACTCCAAAGCCAGAAGACCTGGATTCAAACCCAGATTCCATTATTTACTGGCCATGTGGCCCTGGGCAAGACAGTTAACACTGGAGCCTCAGTTTTCCCATCTGTAAAATGGGGATAATACTAACAGAGTTACTATAAGGAGTAAAATGTTCCTATAACTGTGCCCAGTACATACTAAGCACTATGTAATTGTTAGCTGCTTCAGGTAGTGTTCAATAGATGTAAATCAGCTCCCTGTTAAATATCTGTGGGGAAAGAAAAATCACTAAGATAAAGAGTCAAATGATTTGGAGATAAATTTTGATCTAATCTCCATGTGCAACCAGTAGTCTAATCCTAAATCCCGTTTCCCTTTAAAATGAAAAGGCAACAAACTAGTTATCCAAGATACAACATTACAGAAAGACAACAAATTGTAATAAAAAGAACTTCAAAATATCTAGGTTCTGTTCCTCAGTGTGATGACAGATGCACCCATCCCAAGTGGAGGCGTTCTACAAAGCCTATTCAACCACAAGGGCACAGAGACTTACTTGCCCTTTCACAAACTCTTCTGAAAGGTAAGGCTCAGAAAACATAGCCCTGAATTTTGTAATCCAGCCTCCAGAATGCCACAAAGATACAACCACTACCTGTCCTCAGGATAAACTCGGACTCCTTAACATGGTCCCTAAGCAGCTGGGCTCATCATGGCTTTCCAACAGAATTATTAAGAGTGCTTCCTTTCACTCTCAAAAGTGTCCTAGTTTGGACATAAATTGAACTTCTTTCAGTTCCTGGCTCCATGCGCTTGTATTTCTGGGCTTCTTAACTTCTATTCCCTCTGCCAAGAATGTGATGTCACTTTCTCCAGAAAGTTATTACTAAGGGCTCCCACAGCACCCTCGCATGACATGACACATCTGTCACTACTGTTTAACGCTATCTCCCAGATCACCTGCCCACTCTTAAGCACACTTACATATGCAAAGGACATTGCCTGCCACATAACAGGCATTTACTAGACATTTATACAAATGAACATGTCTCCCTGTGGCAAGACTGAAGTGAAAAATACTTCTTCCAAACATAGCCTTGAACCATTCATCCTTCGTTCACTAAGCAAATTAAATGCAGAGATCCTGTTATGCGCAAGAATGTTAGTTGACCAAAAGGAATTTTTGTACTTTTCGGGAGATAAGAATAGTTTCATATATACTGACTACTACTAGAAAATATACATAAAAGTGAAGATCTACAAAGACAGAAAGCTAATTTCAAATATTTCTACTGGCAAGAATTAGAAATTATTAGGAAAATAAATAGCTAACATTTGAGTACTTATAATATGCAAGACTTTACATAAACTAACTTCACAAATATTAACACATTCAATCCTCATGACAGTCTTCAGTACTATTATTCACCCCATTTAATAATCAGAAAATCAACACACAAAGAAATTAAGTAATTTGCCCAAGGTCACAGAGTTAAGGAGCAGAAGTGGAGAGCAAGTCCCTTTCTCATGCTTCTGTTTTAAAAAGGAGGGCACTGTGTATTTCACTCTATACAAATTTTACCCCAATTAGGAGAAAAAATAGGAAAGAAAGAAAAAATTCTGTGCATGTAATGAGAAGTACGCAAAGTTATTTATGTAGTCTATACTACTTACATAAGCTGTAGTATTCTACGTATGCAGTATGCCAAAAATCTGTAACTTGACTCTAATCCACACTGTAGGGCATCCTATAAGATAAAAATAACTGTGTCGCCGCGCGCAGCGGCTCACGCCAGTAATCCTAGCACTCTGGGAGGCCAAGGTGGGAGGATCACTTGAGGGCAGGAGTTGGAGACCAGCCTGAGCAAGAGCAAGACTCCATCTCTACTAAAAATAGAAAAAATTAGCCCGCCAACTCAAAATGGAAACAAAAAATTAGCCTGGCATGGTGGCGTGTGCCTGTAGCCCCAGATACTCGGGAGGCTGAGGCAGAAGGATCGCTTGAGCCCAGGAGTTTGAGGTTGCTGTGAGCTAGGCTGACGCCAC